GGGGGGGGGGGGAGGGGGTGTACCCCCCTCAAGTTTCGCCCCTGACAACAATTGTGATATTACTTTCTTCACTGTGTTTATCCTAACCCACCCTGTCAACTTTCCCTGTGGGAGGAAACCAGAGCACCCGGAGAAAACCCATGACTTTCGGCAGAGCGTTGACTGACTCTTTTCACATGAGTCCGTAGCGAGAATCCAACCCACGAACTCAGAGGTGAAAGGCGCTTACTCTGATGACTGCGTCAAAAGAAACGCATGTAACAAAAGCGAATGTAACAAAAGAAGACACGCGCTAATATTTCGATTTTAGGGACTGGTCATAAAGTAACTGCTAGGGTGGGCTGGAGGTAAATCACAAATTTTGCCAATAAGTTTGGTGACCCATCTTAGGATGTAGATAAAAATTTCAAAGCCCATCTGATCTTGCCAAATTTATTTCATGACCCACCCACCCAATCGAAATTGGGAAAATACACTTTTATAATAAAAAAACTTGCAGGTATGAACATTGTAAATATACACCGGCACTGTATTGACATGCATAATTCCACCATGCTTGACCAACACATTCATCACCACTGATTCGATCACTTCTTCTTGTTGTATAAAACAAAGTACTGGCTTCAATAGCATCATTTGCATTTGATAATTTGGATAGTTTTGTTTACTTTTATTATTAATATCTTCATGTAAAATATATTATTAACATGGGTTTTTGTTTGGTGGCCCAACCGTGGACATACCAAAAAATTGGCGGCCCATCGAAACTGCCCAAAGATTTTCCATGGCCCATCCCAAATCACTCCAGCCCACCCTAGCAGATACTTTATGACCGGTCCCTTATTTCAAACTCATTGTCAAACTTCTCTACTCTTCAAATACTGTAACATCTAACAAACTACTTTTTCACGGAGGTCTCACACATCAAATTCAAAAATCCGCCGCTAAACACTTAGCTCACTTTGCAAAAGTAGGTTCGATTTTGAAATAAAATCGAAATATTAATAATAATAATAATATATTGGCGTGTCTTCTTAGTTTTTTGAGCGCACAAGATACTATAATTTGGAGTATGCTTTGTTTTGTATTTCTTAAAATTGTCGGTTGGAATAGGTTCTTTATACATGATAGTTCTAAATTGTTCTTCCTTGAGGTTCAGTTATGGTCGTCGCTTACTAGTGAGTTCAAGCTTCACATTTGAGCACAACGATAAAAGGTAAAGTCGATTTTTCTTGGCAGAATTTTAGTTTAAATTCTTTGCTTCATATTTTCTTTCTTTTGTCAGCGTGAAGCGTAAAAATTTTCTTTGCCCGGCGTTGTCGCTTGACGTAGAAAAGCGAAACTTATAAACTCTCTATTTTGTTATTACAGGAATGAAACCTAAACTGTGCTACCATTGGTTGATAATACTGTGTTACCATTGGCTGATAATACTGTGTTACTCATTGGTTGATAATACTGTGTTACCATTGGTTGATAATACTATGTTACCATTGGTTGATAATACTCTGCTACCATTGGTTGATAATACTCTGCTACCATTGGTTGATAATACTGGTTGATAATACTGTGTTACCCATTGGTTGATAATACTGTGTTACCATTGGTTGATAATAATGTGCTACCATTGGTTGATAATACTGTGTTACCATTGGTTGATAATACTCTGCTACCATTGGTTGATAATACTGTGTTACCAATGGCTGATAATACTGCAGTGTTACCCATTGGATGATAATACAGTGTTACCCATTGGCTGATAATACTGTGTCACCCATTGGCTGATAATATTTTGTTAGCCCTGGTTAAAAATGTTGTGGCACCATTGATTGATAATTCTTTGTTGCCATTGGTTGAAATTATAACAAGATAACTACATATTAGTGTTGGTATCGAAAACTGGCCACAACAAAACATTACCCCATCATGATGACAGCCCACCACATTGAATTCACATGTCCCTGGAACCTCGTCGCATATCAGTTGTTCGTGTTGTTCAATGTCCTTTCTCAGGATTTCAGCTTTACAGTATCTACAATACACGGGAGCACCTTCGCAGACCGTTCCAACATGTGCCTAAACAAGCAAAAAGTTTACAGTAAAAGCCTCACATAAAAGAACCACTGGGTTAACTGTTAAGAACCACCAGTTTGAAATTTGGGCAATCATGGCACCCAACATACAAGAACAAGTGAGACTGGTTCTTAAAGTAGAAAGCATGTTCTGCGGGCAGGTATAGGCGGGTACAAACTTAAATTATAATTTATAAGAAATATTTTATAAAATTCGGAGGCATTTCAACAGCAACTATTCGTGTAATAGCGTCATAAGCTCACTAAATAAGGAAACAAATACTTTAAAACACTAAACTAGGAACAATTGTCTCTGACTAGAAATTCGAACCACTTAATACACAACTTGACAAGATTTGCCCAGTATCAATGGGTACTTAGGGGTGACTGTATAAAAACCACTTCACCCTGACATAAAAATAGTGGTTCTTTCATGCCGGTTTTTACTGCATTTATTATTCAACTTTAAAGTACACTGGGGTACTCAGGCGAGCTCATCCAATAAATATGGTCAAAACGAGTTCTGACAGAACGGAAATAAGTTTTATGTCAAACGATCATACACGACAAGCCTATTGTAACAATTTAAAACACATAAAAAATGTTAAATATTTACCTGAATCGATGCAAATGGAACATCTTTTCTGCAATACTGACACTTCACATTCCGATATTTACATTCGCTTTTCAAATGTTCACCCAAATGAGAACGCAGGAACTTATCCTTGCACTGGGTATGAATACAACTTATTAAGCGAAAAGCACATTCTGCGTCGTGTTTCTAAAAGTAAGAAATTATAATCACATTCTACCATCTTATATCTAAAATCTCGAACGATGGTAACTGAGGTATGAAGGAGATACAATCATGGGCATAAGAGACAGGGGGCCTGGAGGGGCGGCAGCCCCCCTCCCCCAAGTGGGTGTTTCGTCGGGCAAATTGTATTTAAAAATCGGGCAATTTTCTAAACCTTTGTTTCATATAAATTCAAAAATAATGCAGTAGAGTGATGAGTTTTGGCATCCTGAAGAATGAAATCTCAGAAATACTCATAAATAATTATATACTTTTTATTTATGGTCTTAAGAATGACGTTTTAAAATGTCTTCCTTCTACAACCCATGCTGGGCAATTCCATCATCGTCGGGTAATTTTTTGCCAATCCCCCCTAATTTTTTCCGCCCGTATTCCTATGGATACAACTATCTGAAAAATATTAACCGAACTTCGACGTTCTGAGCGAAAGCAGGAAAGGAGGGAGGGAAAAAGGAAAGAGAAAAGGGAGGGACGAGTTTATCTTTTCCCCCAGTCTTCCCACCTCCTTCCTCTCTCCTCTCTCCCCTCCCCACTGTACTGTCTTTCTAATTCTCTCCCAACCTAAGTTTTCATTCCTCCAACCTTCACCCCACCCACAAACGCACCTGCATCTCTTCATTAGTGCAAATCCATGAACACCCCGTGTTCGGGCAATGCAGGCGCAGATTATTCAGCTCACGTTTAGTAAAAACATCGGGGAAAACCTGTAATGGAAATATTTTGCAAATCATTAAAGATAAAACTTTATTATTTACTGGTGATACAGGTTGTCTGCATGTATTTGGCGTCACGTAACTAAATTGGCAGGATGGAAGGTTTCACAAAAAAATTACACACAAAAACTGCGCTGTTCTAAGGACTGTGCATCAGTGCATAGTAAGTATCTGCTATTGCAGTTTATAACTGCAATGCGAAAAACGCTGCCAGGGTGTTAGTTAAGTAAAAAATGAATCGTTCTACGTTTGGTTTCTCCAACTACGTTTATTATAATTGCTAGCAATTTCGCAATTTAGATCTGCCAAAAATAATATAACTATTACGAAAAAAGTTTTTAAACTTCAAATATCGCTCATGAAAGATTTGGTGTCCCGAGAATGCCATCTAGCCCAGCTTTTAGTCCGAGCCCCAAGGAGGTGCGCACCAGCTCCCCTGAAATAATTTTGCACCCTGTGAAAGTCAAATGATGGATCAAAGTGAAACTATGACTCTCAAACTTAGCAGAATGAAGGTTTGTTATTAATTTTTTGTGTTGCTTAACCCATCGAGTGGCAGCACTCTCCCATGACGAGTAAAATCGTCCAAGGTTAGACCAGGACGTCTATAAGAATTCTCATAGACGCCCTTGTTAGACAGAGTAAAATTCTGTTACAGTTCTCTTTAGAAATTGGTACTTCAATAGAACTGTATATTTATGGAACTGTTTGCCTTGTGATGACAAATTGTCCTCTTCTTTTTTACCCTTAAAACTAAACTATACGAGTACTACAAAAATAAACTTAACAAGATTAAGGCCTAGAACTTGGAAGACACTGTACAATAAGTGTCGTTCACTGCAAACAAACTGTTGCTCGTAAATGTCCAGTATTGGCATGCTCGATGGGTAATTTGTTTGTAAGGCGTATAAGATTTCTTGATTTATAAATCCTTTTTTTCTTGATTGATTTTCTATATGAGCAGATGATTTTCGGTAATCGATTATCTTAATTTGAATTTACCCCTCGAGCAAGCAAATTAGTTAATTGTTCAATCTAGTTTTGTAAGTACAACGTAATCTTTGTCTTGTAATGTTTTGGTGGGACTTAGTGAGGGACTTATGCTCTGTTATCCTTAGCATCGATTTTTACATGATTGTTAAGCAATTAAAAAAAATTAAAGTAGCGAGTAGGGCGTATCAGGGTGCATAGCCACTTAAAGGGTAAAGATCATCACTGTGTCAATTACCTTTTACAGGCTTTTAGCATAGCAACAGGGACGAAATTGTCGTACAGTCACGATTCATAAATACATGTTAAAGTACATTATATGTACATTACGTACATACAATCACATTGTTGACTAATTCCTAAACCGGATTTAACCCTAATATCCTGGGCCCACCCTCCCAGGGTGGCTGCGCCCAGATCGCCGCACCTCCCATGAAAGGTTTCCACCTATCCCAGAATTTGCAAAAAATCCTGCCTTGGATAGAAGAAAAAGAGAAACTCACTTGGTCTTTTTTCAGCTCTGTATCATCTGCAGGACATTTTGGATTAGGGGCCCTTAATAATAAGAAATAGTCTTCATAACATTTCACCGATGAACATTCGTGCTTTCGGATCAAGTTTTAAACCTCGTTACCTTCACACATTATCTCGCAGGTTCATCCATGCCAAATATATAAGCGTAGATTAATATACCAATCCATGGACACCTTGCATGATGATCCACACAAGATGGTCAGGTTAGGATTAAGGTTAGGTTAAGATTAGGCTTAGGATAAAGGCTAGGCTTGGGATAACACTTTTTCGTCGAAACGAGAAATTTCTACAGCACACTGTGGGCGTACAGTAAATGGACTTGATGCTGATTGCCAATCGATGATGTCAATGGGAGAAAGTGAATACTACTATACTAGGATACCTCCAACTTAATTCTCCGCCATTATTGTGGATTAAAAATCAGCATGCCTTATAGCAGCGAACTTTCTACAGCGAAGTACAGTAGGGCACATGCAGTAACGAAAATCAATATATTACGAAAGTCACCGAAACTGTGGAATCGCCTCAAAAATTCGTATATCGACCACTCCCACAAACGTCTACGACCGCACCTACATATTTTTGCATGTTTACAATTCTAATTTTAAACAGCCAATCGACGTTTAATTGTAATTGTTACCAAGAACCTGATTGGCTGTTCAAAATTAGAATTGTAAACATGCAAAACTATGTAGGTGCGGTCGTAGACGTTTGTGGGAGTGGCCGATATACGAATTTTTTATGCGATTCCACAGTTCGGTGACTTTCGTAATATGGGCATAACCTATAGAGGAGCATGGCGAGCATATTAAGCATCAACACAGTAAGGGAAATCAGCAAGGCCTGGCTGCGCAGAGTATTAAGGCACAGCCACAGGTAATAAAAAATCAGCATAACCTGTAGGAGCGGTAGCGAAGCGAATTAAGGTATAGCTATATGGCAGGGTTCGTACAGATTAAGAAGAGCAAAATTCAAGAAGGCGTGATTCTAACTAAACTGTTCAAATGGCTACTTTAATGAATCTCAAAAATCAATTCAACATGTCCGGTTTTTTATGTCAAATATAATTTCAGAAAATATCCAGAGACTATAAAATATGAAGAATTTCAGGACTTTTTAGCACTTCTTTGTATATCCAAGAAGTTTCCAGGACTTTCATGTTTTTTTCGAACCCTGCCATTGGCAATACAAAAAATCAACATATTCTTGGCAGCAACCCTAGCTGCGAAACGAGAAGCTTATGCAACTATAGTGATGCACCGATATCCATGCCGCCGTATCGTATATAATACCAGATATCGGCCCTAATTTCAAAATATCGGTTTCCGTATTTTTGTTGCCGATATTATCGGTACGTACTATAACAAATTTATAGAATATATTTTAAATTTAAAGCATAAATCCAATGAATGTACCGGTATAAATTCAACATATAGCCATAATATATTCAAATATTTGAACAATGTGTTAATGAACTGTTAATGCATGATTTGCCACTCCCAACTCATAGTTATGATGAATTTTCTACAGTAAAGTTCAATTTCATTGGTGAATTTCGAAGTAAAATAAAATAAGGCATATCGGCCAATATCGCCCCTTGAATATCGGTTATCGAAATTATCGGTAAATTTCCATATCGATTATCGGTGCATCACTATGTGCATATATACAGCGAGGTGAGCGAGCCGTATGAAGGCAAGCACAATAAAGTAACTCAACATACTTCTAGAATTAAGCACTGACGCAGCGCAGCGAATAGTATTAAGGCTTGCCATAAGCAATAAAGCAAATCAACATACTCTAGCAATGCTTGCAGACAGGTAAAACACATCAAGTGTCCACAATGCGTTTGCATGGGCACGCAAAGGAGCAAATTACAGATGATGCAGATGAATTTTCTATCGATTTTCTTACGATCTTCCTCCGTGATTCTTGTTCCCGGCATGATGGAAAAAAAGCTTCAACTAGAAAAAGGAAAAATGACAGTTTAGAATAACTGAATAATTCCACAACTTGCCTCCAAATATTATGCATTGCAAGACGAGCCCGAACAAATTCGCAACTTTGCACAGGAGAAATCGTACGGTTAACGGCAGCTCTCTAATGAGTAACGAGTAATGTGCCCGCTTACATACATCTCATGTAAACTCGACAGGAAAAGCTATTAAAAATCGTGCAAGTTTGATACGTATTTCGTTTGGTCGCATGCAGAATACTCTTCACACATACGAACACGGCAAGCAGATCAGGCAACTGCATGCATGATGCAGGAAATTCACGTCGGTCGCAGAGGACACATACATTCAGTTATTTGCCATCAGAACAGCATTTTCCAAAGATAAATAAATCATGCCTCGATGAAGGAAGAAAAAGCGAACACACCACAGAATTATGTTGAAAATGAAACTAAAACTATAAAAGTGAAACTGCTTCGATTCTTAGAAAAACATTTTCATTTCTGCGAAATTCATTATTATTGTATATGGTTGTTTTTCTATAATCTTACAATTTATAATTTATTAAATGCTTGGTAACATTGACAGTTAATTGGATGTCGTTACAGTACTCCGCTATTCTGTGTCTGTGCATGTGATATCAAATATACCTCAAAAACGAGGGCAGAAGAAAATGCGAATTGCCGGGTTGCAAGAGATTTCATACTCAATTCTCAATTTCTGTCAGTTTGCCAAATAGTTTGGGTCCGTGAAATTGACACGAAAACACTCCCTCCGCACACCCTTAGTTACAGTCGTCCCAATAGAAGGGTTCCGAAAAATGCAACCTCGTCCCCAGGGTCTTCTTCGTGCATGGCGCGTGAAAAATGAGAAGACCCTGGTAAAGGCTGTTCTAAACTGCGTTGTGATTGGTTTATACATTTGACCTTGAATGTGCTTTGAGGATGTTGT